GGTGATTGGGCTTCAGGTGGCACCGGCGGGAACCGAGGACCCTGAAGAGAAGCCGGAAGTTTGCCATCTTACTGGTGGGGGCCCTTCAATTATTAAATAAGCATTAGATATTTTTTCTTTCTAAGAAAGAAAAAAATTTGATAGAAAAAATTTTCCCCCTTTTGATGAAATAATTTAGTGAACTGTTCATTTATGTATTGCAACCATATGTATTCAGCCCAAAGTTTTTCTTCTCTTATCTCCCTCCTACAACCAAACAGCTTTGGCCAGAAGCATGCAACCTTTTTGCTATTAAGTTTCTCTTAAGTAAGGCCAGAAAGCTTTAAAAATACTTTGACCAAGATGGTTTAGGTGTCTGGTTATGTCTCAGTTTGTTCTCAAAGGCACGATTGAATAACATCTTGGATTGTCAAAGAAGTGATGTAATGAGTGTTTTCTCATTCTACAGGACATTCTCAGGATAACACATATATCTCCCACCAGTACAATATGGAGAACACCCCATTTAGGGGGAGTTTCCCCGCTCAGAAACTAGTCTTGTTTTGGGCTTATAGTGGAATGTTAAATCTTGTCCTTTTCTTTCTTCTGAGGAAGATTGGACTTGCTACCTTGTATTTTTTTTATTTAAAATTTTCAGTTTTAAAAATTAATTTTATAAAAGCTTGAAACAATTTCAAGCTTACAGAAAAGTTGCAAGTACAGTACAACTGTCTTGTATCCTGAAGTATAGGAGAGTAAGCTGCCAACCTGGCACTTCCTCATCCTCAAACACAAGGACATTCTCTTATATAACCACAGGCTCTGTTGGCATTGAAAATTAACTGACATTGTTACCATTTAATCTTCATAAGACAGGCCTGTGAAAACTAGTCAATTAAAAAAAATTGAGTACTGTATTATGTAAAAGGTGATGATTATTTGCAGTTGAGAGAAAGTCTAAGGATATCAGAAAAAATATATACAGTGACTGTAAACTGAATGACAATTTGAGAGGCAGGTGAAGATGACAGGGCTGCGGAAATGTACTTGCCTCGAAACTCCAGAGTGTGTCTAATTCACTTAGATGTTGAATATGTGAGCTTTTGTGATGACTGATCACTTTGATGCCGGGGTTCTTGTTTGCGGAGCCGAAGAATGAGCTTCACAGTCAAGGTAGGAGAGCAAGGGGACAAGAGAGTCTGTAGTGGTGCATTGTCTAGGGGGGTTTTATAGACGGTTGAGGATTTTTCGAGAACATGAAAAAAACTTAGGGGCGTGGACTTGTTAAGTGGTCCCTGAATATTTAGAATTAACTTAACACAAGCAACTTCCTCTGATGATTTCTTCCTCAGATACCTGCATCTTGGTCTGGGGGCATATGAAACAAGGCCACCTGCTCAGCCCCCAAGGTGGGCTGAGGTATTGTTTACTAAAGAGTAAGTTAAGAATTTCTAACGTCTTAACTTCTTGGGTATTAAAATTCAATCTTATCTTTAAGGTGGAATCCTTCCTGCCTTTTACTGTGTTGTTTATGCCTGGGCTAACCTGCTAAATTAGTTGCCCAGTTTGCAAAATCACTTCATCAGATCTGAAGGAGAAAGACAGCACTTAGGCCTGGGCCTTTTAGCATGCTAAAGAGAACCTTACACATGATTATAAATCGTTAGCATAATAAAACATGTGCTACTCTTCTTTATCTGGGGAACATGAACTGATTTCACTGAAGAATGATTCTAGAGCTCAATGTTTAACATAGAGTTTTAACAGGGGGTTTTCCTTGCATGTAGTTACATTGCTCGGACTGCAAATATCCTTCCCTGCCCCCTCCGGAGGCCCTCACCCTATTCTGACTGCATTTATGGTCCCTGTCTCAACTTGACCACCAGATAGTGTGAGCCTTTGACTTTGCCGTTTGCCTTGGTACTTTTTCAGTCAGCCCCTAGGTCTTACTGGTCTGCTTCTTGATGTGGCTTCTGGAAGGTCAGTTATTCAGTACCAGTGTAGGTATTTTAGTTCAGCAGAATTAAATTCTTCAATGCATGCAGCTTACAACTGTCCACTCTATCTTAAGAATGGTCTCATGTGAATGAATGTCCCAGCTCATAGTTCTGTTGCTGAAGGGTGAGAAAACTTGCTCTTTGTGACCAAATACACCCAACTTTTGCTGTCTGTTTATTCCTGAGAAAATAGTCTTAATGAAGTTCTTCATATGATTTTTCTCTGATTTATATTAGAAAGTGCCATTGTCAAAGTGAAGTTTTTGTTATGAAGTATGCTAAAGAATTTTTTTTCTTAGAAAAAGTAGAAAGACTGATTAATAAGGCTAGTTCTTTGAAAGAACTATTATAGGAAATTTTAGTTTTAAAAACTATTTTCCTGATAAGTTTTTTGAGTACATGTTTACATAAACAATTAATTTTAATGTTTTTTTTAACGTTTAAAGAAATTCAAGAAAAAATTTACATATCCCATTGCCTCATCAAACTGACTTGTGTTCTTTAATAAACAATCTTGTTTATATTAAGTTACTACACATACAGGTTCTGATTATGATATGTACTCTTAAGGCTCTTGCAGACCAATTTGAAGATAAGACTACATCTGTATTGGAACGTCTGAAGATTTTCTACTGCTGTCATGTACCACCTCATTGGGCCATTCAGGTACTTTTGTTGTTTGTCATTGGGTTTGGAAAATACTTTGCGTTGTTAGGGTCCCGGCTTCCTAGGCTTCTCCAGAGAACAAACTACACAGTCATAGAGATGTAAATTCAAGCAAAGTCTTTATTCAGCCAGCTAGCTGGGGTCCAATGTCAGCCCGTCGCAGTGGCTCTCAACAAGGACCCCGAGCACTCAGAGCCAAGGGTTTATATAGCATTTTCAAAGCACTTAACTCATAGTAATTTTCCACAACTATACATTATTCTTGCAAGACATACATCCTGGGGTTAAGCAAGGGCAGGATAAGACTACTCCTCAATGGTTAGGGAGGTTCTGCACGATAAGCTTGGTATGTAAGATTAACTGACCAAGGGTCACAGCTGCCCACCACCCGGTGCTCATGATTAACTTGTTTTTCAAGGCCTTACCCAGTTCCAGTTTTTCTTTCTAAGTCACATACTCAGAAAATGGCTTCTAGGCCTTTAAGATGTCTATGCTTATGCTAACCTATTTCTATTCTTACAGCGTTTGAAAGATAAATGCATTAGAAAAGAAAAGAGTTATTTCAAATTTATGTTTGAGTTTTCAAGTATTCCAGTGAAAAGAATAAAAATATCTACCTGGGGATTGCCAACTACTTCAGATTGCTATTTTGTTTAAAATGATACTGGATTTTTAAAATGTTTTAAAAAGAATTTAAAACTAGATTAAATAGAATCTTTGAAATTATATAATAGAATCACAGATGCTTTCATTTTCAAAATGACTTTTTATATTTTTAAAAACCCATAAAGGACTTTCTGCCAAAGAGTGAACCTTTTAACCAAGTTGTTTACAAAAAGTAAAAGAAAGCATTTATTTGATACTCTGTATTATGAGGTATTTTTACCTACTCCCCTCTTTCTGAGTATATGAGAATACCTAGTGTAGCTCCAAAAGCCTCATGTTAGGGTAAAGACTCTAGCCCTCTCTCCTGTGGTTCTCTTGTGTTTACAGGTGTGCTTCCCCTACTTTATAAATTTTTTAGTACTGAAGGCAACTTAAAATCTATTCCAGTTTCTTAATTTTACAGAGAAAAAAATTGAGGCCCAGTGTAATTAACTACACTTTTCCAGTGTAGGTCACATAGTTGTTCATAATCTAGATCTCTATTTTCTAAACTTTTGGTCTAGTTTAAATTCTTTTCTTATCTCTTCATTGGGTTGTAATTATACCAGCTAATAATATCAAACGTTTACTCCGCACTTAGGATGAGGCATGCACTTTGTTCTGCATTTCATATACATTATCTTCTTTTGTTGCAACAGTTGTGTGAAATACCTGCATTTTACACATGAGGCATCTATGGCACAGAGAAATTAAATGGAGTCAATTGGTGCCAGCCAGAAATTTCTATGTGATTTAGTAATTATTGCCTTTTTAACCAGCTTCCTATCCTCTCTCCCTTTTGGATTATGCACATAGGTACAGATTTAGAATTATAAATGCCAACCCATCTTTCATGACTCAGAATCCCCATTATAAGATTTCTTAGAGTAGAGCATATTCTTAAGTACCATGTAAACCAGGGTTATTACACATGGAATTCACTTATCTATTGAAAGAGTCTCAATAAAACAGGAAAATAAAAGGCTTGGTTATATCATTTCAAGAGGAGTAGTTTTTTCATCAGGAAGGTGTTAACAACTGGAACTTCTTAGCGTGTTTTTGGCCCTGATTTGTAAAATTTGTTAAATGCTTTATCCTACATGACTTGTGGATAAACATCTTAGACTCTGAGCTGTTACTCTGACAATACATGTGTTGATGGTGTAGCTTTTAATCTGTTTCTGAACCGAAGCATTTGGAAATTAAATACAGTTCAAATAGAATTTAGGCTAAATGTTTATTTTGTCTATTTAGGAAGCAGTCGATTTTGGAATCTTTAGGCAGTTAGGTAAACATTCCCTTTCATTATGAAATTAAATGGTTTTTTTCTTTATGATAGGGAGTATCTGTATCTTTCTGTATGATATTTAAAGGGTAAAAAAAAACATAGTTCATTATAAAAAGAGAATTAGTCTACTTTGCTACTAGGTAGCTGTACCAGCTTAGATGCCCTAACTTTCTTCATCTACTAAATGAAAAGATTAGACTACTTACTGTATGAGCACTGAGATTTATTCCAGCTCCCACAAGCTATGTTCATTTTTAAAAATATTCAATCAGTTACCCTAAAATAGCAAATTCTTCTATTCTTCATGGGATACAGAAGAATTAGATCAAGATCATCACCTTTATTTATTATTATATTAGCTTATAATGTTTAGGTATATTTCATTTTATTTTTTAATTTTGTCAGTCCCAAATTTTCCATATCCATTAGCTTCTCAATTATTTATTATGTATTGAATTTTGAAAAAGTAGTAAAAGTATAATTAAGAGAAAACAACACAGTTCTCACTAATATGAAACCATACCTTATTCAGGAACCTCACCTACTTTTTAAACTTTTCTAACATTTTTTTCCATTCCTTCAGGGTGGACCACTTACAAACCACAATATGTTTGTTTTTAAATATGTTTAACCTTCACTGACCATCTCACAACTTGCCTCTTTTTATCTGCCGAGGACTGGAAAATTAGATAGCTGAGTTTTTTAGAATGTGCTAAAAATAAATCTAAGTAGACCTGACAAAGAGCCAGAGATATCCTCCTGAATAAAGTACGTGAGGACTAATGCATAGATTTTATGTCACTTATGTAGACTGTTTAGAATTTTTATTATTTATTTATCTGAGTTCAATTTCCTTTTTTCTGCTATTTTAAGATACAATTAACATATGATGGTGTGTTAGTTTTAGGTATGCAGCACAATTTGATGTATCTATATATTGTGAAATGATTACCCCAATAAGTATAGTTAATATCCATTACCTCATAGTTACAAATGTTTTTTCTTATTATGAGAAATTTTAAGATCTACTCCCTTAGTAACTTTCCAATGTACAATACAGTATTGTTAACTGTTAACTGTAGTCACCATGCTGCTTATTACATCCAAAAACTTAACTTATCTTGCAAATAGAATTTTGACCACTTACAGCTGTTTCCATACCCCCACCACTTTCTCCCACCTCTTGCAACCAGCAGTCTGTTTTCTGTTTCTATGAATTTGATATTTTTAGATTCCACATATGTGAGATCATACAATATTTGTCTTTGTCTGTCTGTCTTATTTCAATTAGCATTGATACCTTCAAGGTCTATCTGTGTTGTCACAAATGGCTGGATTTCCTTTTTTACTGCTTTATAATATATTCCACAGTATATGTACACTTCACATTTTCTGTATCCATTCATCCATCAATGGATCAATGGACGGTTAGGTTGTTTCATATCTTGGCTATTATATATAAGGCTGCAGTGAACACAGGGGTACGGATATCTCTCTGAGATAGTAATTTTGTTTTCTTTGGCTATATACCCAGAGGTGGGATTGCTGAATCATATGGTAGTTCTATTTTTAATTTTTTGGGAACCTTCCTTACTGTTTTCCATAGTGGCTGTACTAATCTCCATTCCCACCAACAGTGCACGAGGGTTCTTTTTTCTCCATATCCTCATCAACACTTAATCTCTTATCTTTTTGGTAATAGGCATTTTACCTAGAGTTTTTAAAGCTGATTTATTGGGTGTCAGCTTTACAAATCAGAGATTGTTTTATATAGAATCTCTAGGTAAGAAAGAAATACTGACTTTGCTTTTTGTTTTCATCTGAGTTTTGGGAAAAAAAATTTGATACATTTGTTGAGTATTTGGAATAGCTTCTATATAATCTTTTAATTGCTTACCCCTATAAAGAAGCTTGCTAAAATAAAGGTAAGTATTGAATCATTGCAAATTTCTTAGTAGAAATTGAATTATAGAAATTATACATTTGTTATAATAAGCAGAACATTTTTGCCAAATAACGCAGAGTAATCTGTCTTGAAGTGACAGATTGGGCATAGCTGCACAGAAACAGGAATGTTCATTATTGGCACTTGATTTTTTTTAGCGCCAACTTGGAAGTTTTCTCTTTGAGTTGGGATGTACCAGTTCAGCCCTTCAGATATTTGAGAAGCTGGAAATGTGGGAAGATGTTGTCATTTGTTATGAAAGAGCTGGGCAGCATGGGAAGGTAGGTGATGTGATTGTAAAATTCTGCATACTAGTGCGAACCTTCTATCTTTGAGCATCTTCTGACTTGCTTTTTGTTTTTCTAAACCCACTTTTGCCAATAGTTCACTTACATTCCTTTTGCACTTTTTCCCCATAAATCTTTTTAATGATTTATCTGGTTCCTGTTTGGGTGGGTTATTTTATGCATATGCATGTGTATGTATATATAAAAGAGAAAAGCAGGCTAAAATTGATAGGATATTTAAGACTGCATAGTTAAAGCTTTAAAGACTGAATTTTGATCTCTTCCTTTTACTAACTCACCTCCTGAGGGACAACTTCAAAGTGAGACATTAGGAATTATTTTAAGCAACAGTGGATTGCCTGATGATCAGAGGCTGTGGGCATGAAGGGAGGTTTCCAAGGAGGGAGAGCAGCTGGCTTGGTCTGTAGAAGAAAATGCCAAGGGTGTGGAAAGCCCCCACTTGGGGCAGAAGAGTTGTCAGGTGTGTAGTACACAGTTAATTAAATTGGGTCATCAGGAATAATGTTGTGGTGTTTGTATCTGTTATTAATCTATTGTTTTTGCTCCTCATAAATGAACAGAATTTTAAAACAAGGGCCTCTGCATTGTATTTGTTAAAACTGACATATTGGAATCATGTTAATTTTGGTTAAGATTTTATATGACTAAATTTCTATCATAATAAATATAATACAGAGTTAAAACCTACAAATTGGATCATTTAAATCTATGGTCAATCTTTTACCATCATCTTAAAAAGAAATAGGGTTTCAAGTGTATGTGTGTTTTTTAAATGCCTTCCTAAATATGTCTGTTTTAGACTAGTAGAAAAAGTTACATTCCTCTCACTAGTCACTAATGGTAGTGAAGGTTTGAGTTGTATTGACTTAAGGAGAAACCAGCCTTTGCTGTAGAAGATTACAGAATTTTAATACTTCCATCCTGGGAAAGAACTCCCTAATCATCCATTCCAGTTCCCTCCTTTTCCAAGTAAGGAAAGGAATCTGTAATAATTTGCCTTAGGTCACACAGCCAGTCACTGATTGTTAGCTTGAGAGGCCACGTGTAATGGCTAAAAGTACAGCCTCTAGGCCCAGGCTGCCTGGATCCCAGTGCGAGCTCTGCCATGTGTAGGCTTTGTGAGGCTGGGCAGGTTACTCGTGACCTTCACCCAGTGTCCTCATCTGGAGCCACATAGTCTACCTCCCTTACAGGTTTCTGTGACGTAATATATGTAAAGTACATAGGATGGTACTTTCCTCCTAGTGCTATGTGCTTGTTGGCCACTATCACTGCTGTAATTCTAGGACTTCATTTATTTACTCTTTTTGACCTTTCCTTTCTGAATTTTGCATTTATCTAACACTTTATGGCATCTTCCATTTGCTGTCAGTCAGGTGGCCATCTGGCAAAGTTGTCATTGCCTTTGCTTATACAAGCTTAGTCATAGCTGTATTTAGTGTTATCATTTCAATTGAGTTATATGTATAGTTTCAGTGCTACATATTTTAGATTTAATTGCCATTTAAAATATCTTCAGAAAGATTTCATTAAGGTTTTGTTGCCATGCAGCTGTGTCTGGGGAGGTCTCTCCCTGCACATTAGGTGAAAGTTCAACCCGGACGGGGGAGGATTCTTGACTCTGATCAAGAAAGAATTCATGAGCAGGCTGGAGGAGTGTAGGTAAGGAAGGAATTCATTAAAGCAAGAGTAGTAGTTCATGGCAGCAGCTATGCAGGCAGTAGAGAGCAAGAAAGAGCAGATGGAAGGAAGGAAAGTTCACTGAACTCCTGCTCAGCATAGGGCATATCCCTTGCCAACTCCTGAAACCAGTGGCACCTGGCATCATGTGTCTGCTAGAATCTGCATAGTGTGGGAAATAAGTCCCTACTATCCCAGGATTGGGGGCTTGGCAGAGCTTGATGGAGTGAAATTATGTTCTGAGAATTTACCAAAGCAAAGAAAGGAGATCTTCGGGCAGGCAACTAAAAAGCATGATCTTAACAGCTGCAGTCCTGTCTGGGTCACCCAGGCGAAAGGAACTTACAAGCCCAAATCAGAGATCTTAGTAGCCCCTCCCTGCTGGTCTGAAGTAGGACAAAGAGAGTGAAGGTCTTTTATGTTGGTCAGTAAATAAATAATAACTGTATAGAATTATCACAGTTTTTGAAATAGTAATTTTTGAAATTGGTAAATCACAAACACTCAAAGCATGCTTTGAAATAGTAAATTTAATTATCTTTAGAAAATATGGAAAGTAGAAACTATCTGATTGCAGAAAAAAAATATAATGCATCCATTCCCTTCAGAGAATAGATTTGATTATGTCCTGTAAAATAGTTGTGGTATTATTATTATTTTTTTAATATACATAAGCTTATAAGAATGTCTTATAATAATGATAAATTTCCATGTTTCTAATTACTCTAGAAAATGTGTTTGTAACTCCGTGGGGAAAATATGTTCCCAGCCCGGGGCAAATAACCTTTAAAGCCAAGATCAGTCAAAGGGGGAAATAAACTGGGGGAAACCTGTTCATTGCTTACAAGCGAGCATCCATTTCTGCTTATCTGTGTCTCTCGTGACCAGCCTGCAAAAAGGGACCCCATCAACCTCTCTGGTTCAGATATGCCCTTGCTGCCCCTTGCAGTCATGTATAGATATCGACTACTTCTCTCCACCCATTGGAATCACCTATTGATATGGAGATGGATTAAGGCCAGGTAAGAGATTCTGGAAATATTGCAATTTTGCCCACAGTTCACCCCTCCAGAAATCTTGCCTCACAATCTACTCATTCCCCATCTTCCGCAATGGCCCCTGTGCCAGAAAACCAGAGCACTCTAACCAAACTAATAACATACAATAACAACAGCAATAAAATCATGATAATCTTCAATCCAGAGGATTCAGCTAGGTTCAAAGTCCTATGCAGATTAAGTCTGTCCATAGCTCACCCATTCCACAGGCAGTCAGTAGCTGAACAGGTAGGGAGTTCAGAGCAATCATCATGCAGCAGCTGAAGCCAGGGGGTGGGTCCAGGCTACAGGGACTGTAGAAGAAAATAACCTTAAGGGCAATAAGATTACACTACCATAGGCAAATCTTATCTATCAGGTAGGATGCATGCAGTATCTCCTCCTGGTCTGGTATATATACCAAACCTTTACCCCCTACCTGTGGGAGTTATAGATAGATCAATCAATATACAGGGCTATGGGAGGTATATGCACTGGCCATAAAGATAAAACAAAACTTCCCTGTAAGATGCTGTTACTTCATGGATGTTTTGAGTACACTACTGTGATATTTGGGGGCCATTCTGCTATTGCTCCACGAACACACAGGAGGCTGGCTTCCTGGCCTTTTCCCCAAGGTGCCAGAAGGGCTAGCCATCACTAGTCCATATGTCAAAATGTCCAGGGCCATGTCCACTCAACAGAGTCTTCAGAGTTTAACACATCTGGGGCTGGTAGCAGGATATTGTTCTGTTAGCCATATCCTGGCTTCAATAATTCCTGTTTGATTTGCACATACAGAGTTATATAGGAGAAGCAGCAATGTGTGCTAGCATGTCCGCAGGTCTCAAGGCTCCTTTTTGGGGCTTCTCATTCAAACTCTGTAACACTCATCCTGGGTATGGGGCAGAGCATGGAGTGCTCCACAACCTGGGAAGGGGGCGACTCCTCCCCCTGAGGAGCCCACAGTTGTTATGTTTTTATTTGCTTAATTACAACTGGGCAGGCCTTTAATATGAGATGGACTGGTGCCTTGGGCGGTGGCCTCAGCAACAGTTCTGCCCTTGGCTCCACCCCTTCATCCTCCCCCAGCATCCTCTCTACTGTCTCCAGGGCTGAAGGCACTACTCCTTCCTCCCTCTCCCTCATGGCCTCCTGCAACATGGATCCTCCTTCTGCCTCCTCCCTCGTTGCTAACGTATCTTCCAGGAGCTCAGCTTGTCTTCTCCATAACTCTCTCTCTTTCTTAAGGACATCACATAGATCATCACCCAACTCCTCCAGGTGACACCAAAGTTTGTTTCTCTCCTGCCAAAGTGTCTCTCTCCTTCATAACCCTTTCCAAAGTGTCTCTCTCCTTCATAACCCTTTCCACTGTCTCGAGAAAACAAACATCCTACAATCCTGGCTGCTACACAGCCATGCAGGGCCTTTAGGCACTCTTCTATCTCATGGAGGGTTAATTCCACAGCTTCTAGTGTCTTCACCCTTCTGCAGTTCTGGGAAAGGGCCCACCTGTCTAGGAGGTGCTTTACCCAAGACCAGTTTCCCAATAGGGGCTACCCAAGTAGAATTCCCCTGGATTGGGGGTTCCCAGGTGAAGCCACACCATGGGTGGTCCCCCACTGCTGGAGCCACTGGAGCCTTCCCACCATTCACAGCATTCTGGGCATCTCCTCACCATCTCTAGGGGTAGCCTGCCCAAGCATTGCACCCTTGAAAACAGATTTCTGGTTCAGAGGTACTGCTGACTGCCGCCAGGTGTAATGCTGTGGGAGTGGGAGGGGCAGGGGGAATGTGTTCCCAACCCAGGGTAAAAAAAACCTTTGAAGCCAAAATCAGTCAAAGGGAGAAGTAAAGTGGGAGAAACCTGTTTATTGCATATAAGCAGTCATCCATTTCTGCCTGTCCACGTCTTTCACAACCTGGCTGCAAAAAGTGACCCCACTCAACCTCTCCAGCCCAGGTATGCCCTCACTCACCCTTGGAATCACCTATTCGTATGGAGGTGGACTACTTCTCTTCACCCCTTGGAATCTCCTATTGATATAGTGGGCGAGAGATTCTGGAAATATTGCAGTTTTACCCACAGTGTGTATCTTAATTTATGAATGTATAATCATTTACTTTATCATAGCTTTTTGTGAGTTACAACCAAACCTCCCTCAAAGTCTTAATTTTAACGGTTGATTTTAGCGTTTCATTTGCCATATAAAAGACTTCTCTTACCTGTTTTTCTTATGCTATTGTGGATAA